GAAGAATAAGATACTGTAACCTTGATATAAAAAGAGAAAATATTTTAATCTTTATACTCAATTCATAATATTACTTGTTTATTTTCATCAATTTGTTGTTGTAATGTTTCTTCTATAGATGGAATAATATCTGATGGAACAGTAATCGACAAATTTAAAGGTATTTCATGAAGAGATTTTAATTTTTCATTATGATCAAAAGTTATTAATTCATTAATTTTATTTGTTATATTAGTAAATGGTATATCTTCGGATGTCTGAATTTCTTCTGGTTCTTCTTGAACAGGAGAAAGAATAGTTGTAGAATAAGATGATAATTTCATTTCAGATTTTTGTTTCTGATGATCAATTGTATTGACATCAAAAGATTTATTATTTGTATCAGATGCTGATACTACTGGTAATGATCTTTTAGATTTTAATGGAGCAATGTTCATTTCATTGAATGAAAAATTAGTTGTATCTTTTACATGAATTAATGGTGGTATTGGTTCGAGATTTTCTTCATAAGTTGCTCGTTGTGGAACAAGTAAAACATGTTTTGATAAATCTACTCGATGATGAATAACAGTATTACCTTGTTTTATTTTTTCAAGTTGAACTAAACGTGTTTTTCGTTTGATTTTTTCACGAAATTTTTCTTCATCTTTTGTTCGTTGTTCATCAGTGTTTGATTTTGGCGAGTTAACATCAACAAACTATCAATATTTAAAACATGTTTAAGTCCTTCCCCTTTACATCGCATGAAATTTTCTAAACGACTCGATAACATTATGTTTTCATGAGATATTTATCAAACAAGTGTATAATAAATTATTTGATTTTAATTTAAACTTAGATGAAAAAAAAAATACATTCGATTTCAAGTAGAAATCAACAGACATATTTTTAGACCTTCGTTGCTTCCGAAAAGTGAATGTGGACTTGACCTCTATACTGCGTAACATACTGATAATGGACAATCATAGAGAATCGGTGTTTGAAAGTTATTTCATGAAAACATGACAATATTGTGCTGAAAATTTCACTATAACCTTTTCTTTATAACTCTTTCATCAAATATTGAATATGAAAGATTTTACTCAATGTCGAATATAAACTTCTCCATATTCTCGTTTCGATTGAGGAATAGATCGTTGTGTTGAGGTAGCAATTTTTCGATCTTTAGATTTTCTTTGAATAATTGAATATTTCTCAACATTTCCGACTATTGTTAATGGTGATGATTGATGTTCAGAATTATTTGGCATATCAACTATTTTAGATGAAGATATATTGTTTGTATCAACGATATTATTTCTAGGAAATAAAGAACTATTCATGGCTATAATAGAATTTGATTGCAAACGACTTTGACTAGGTACACGAATTTTATGAATAGTATCAGTTGTGTGATATTCTTCATCATGTTCGATTGCTACACCTATTTTCATTGGCAATGAAATTCTCTAGAAATATCAAATTATATCTAATAGAATTTTTTACTCTACAACACTTACTGATGGAACTTTAACATCTACAATATCTGATACTTGTTGAGTAATTTTAAAAACCATTTCAATTGAATATTTCATTTTTTGTAATTCTTGATATAATTCTTTTGCATTAGTTGTTACTAATGAAAGATTAGTTTGTTCGACTGAATCAATCTTTGGTATTAATTCACTAATAGCAGGTTTGATTGTTGTTTGATGTGAAATATTTTTAATTTGTTTTTCTTCGACAATCGTCATTGTTGGTGATTTTGATAGATGAATTGGAACAGGTATAATTTGAATATGAGTATCACTATGTATTTGTCTATTTGATGAAAGAATTATTGAACCTTGTTGTTGTTTTTGTTCTTCATGAAGATGTTTACGAAGATTTTCTAATGTTTTATGATTAATGAATTGATTATCTAATTGATCGATTTTATCTAAGATTTGAAGTTGTACATCAATTTGTTTTTCACGATTATTTTCTTGTTGAAATTTTTCAAGAGATGTTTCTAAATTATTATGAATTAGGAGAGGAATTTTATCTTTTTGTTTTACAAGTATACTTAATTGATGAAGATCTTCAATAGTATCAATCGTTTGTTGATGCATTATTTTATTTGATTCTTGTTCTATATGAGCAGACGATAATTTATCTGTTTGAATTTCTATTTGATCAATATCAGTTTGTATTTTAGAAAGTTCTGCTTGATCATTTTTTATATGTTTTTGTAAAATTATATCATAATTGTTCAAAAGTTCATGTATTTGTTCATTAATTTGATTTGTATCAAGAGATTTTTCATTGATAGTTGATGATTTTATTGAAGTTTTAGATTTTTTATATTCAACTGATTGTTGATTATCGATTGTGGAAGAAATTTGAATTTCTATTTGACTATCTTTTTGTGATTTTTCTTGTTTTTGAAAAGATTCAATCATTTGAAGTTTATTTGAAATAATATGTTCAGCAGCTAATTGTTGAGTAAAATCACCAATAACACTCGCTTCATCATATTGTTTTTGTAAATAATTAATTTCAGTTTGTAAAATTTGATGGTTTATTGAATCAATAGAATCAAATGATGAAATTTGTTGAACAATATCTTTTTGAAAATTCGTTGATGATTGATATTGAAAATGAAACATTTGATATGGAGATTCTTGTTGTATGAATGTTTGTATTTCTAATTGGTGTAATATGGCAGAACATGGTATTATTGATGGTATTAATTCTTGTTGAGAAGTTAATTTATGTAATATAAGTAAATGAGGAGATATACGCTTGGATAAACGTTCGTATTGAACAGATTGAATAACTGTATCTATGGCTAAACAATAGAAACATGTAGTGGTTTCCATAAACTATTCGACTAGATTTATTTTCTGTTTTATTTCCACT